AAGCAACACACGTACGTAGCTTACATGCATACATACATACATATGTACATAACTTTGTGGCATACATTTAATCGTTCACTCTAGTTTTATATTGATGTCGTTTGGATGGCGAGCAAGACAATGTTCCAAAGTCAATGGATGGCCGTATATTATAGCGAAAACACTGATGGACACACACGCATAACTATGTACATTAGACTGATTCAAAAAATTAAAGTTATTATTTGTAAATTTAGAAAAAGAAAGTTATTAAAATTAGAAAAAGTTATTAACATTATTTTTAAATTGCTGAGCTTTACGGTTGTAAGTTGTACATGCTAATTTTTTCAAAATCGCCTTTTTTACAACTAACTATTGAGAAACTGAATAAACTAATAAAAGGGCACAACTCGATTCAAAAATACTTATTGTTGAATATTTATTAAGCTAAAACACAATGCATATTTTAGAGTCTCTTTATTGTTGTTTTAGAAAATTATTTTTGTACAATCTAAAGTTTTTAACTTAATTAAAATTCAAATATAAGTATTTTTGAATCAAGTTGTGCTTCTTTTATTATGTACTTTATTCAGTTTCTCAATAGTTAGTTACAAACAAGGCGATTTTGAAACAATATGCATGTAGAACTTACAACTGTAAAGCTCAGCAATTTAAAAAGATAATAACTTTTTCTAACAGGGAATCACATTTTGCAGGATTTTTGTAAAAAATTTTGCAATACTTATTGATAATTTAATTATTTAGATAAATAAATAAATTAAATAAGATTGAATAATTTAGATGCGCGACCTCTTAAACTTAATATTAAGGGTTGCGCTTTTAATAGGCAACTTTTGACGTCTCCCCGGAGGTATTAAATCGGGGGCAGGTAAAAAGAAGTAAGTAGATTTTTTGGAATCAGTCTAATCTACATATGTAGTTACATTCCATATACGATTATGTATATCGAAGTTATGAAGGAAGCACATCGGACGAACAAAAAAAATAAAATAAAAAAGCAGCCACCTCAATTTCAAGTGCTATTCTATATGCACACAGAAGGGCAAGACAGCCATCAATGCTGACGATAATGACGTTGACTTTTCGATCATTATCGCGTTAGTCGTTGATATGCAATATCTAGTGTTGCCATGAGCCATTATCTGGGTTGGTTGGTTAGTTGACTCCTGCTGTGGGTTGCTGGTTGCGAAGAAAGAAGGATAGGAAAAAAGTAATTTTGAATTTTCAACGGTTGTGCAATTTTGTGGTTGGTAGCATCAACATACATATGTATGTAGGTATATATATGTTACAAGTGGTTTGATAAATACCCTGCAGTGAAAAGAACTAGCATGCAGAATTTCGAATTCATTAACTAGTATTTAGGGATGCTAGTCATACTAGTTCGTTATGAACTATAAGCTTTCATCGATTCGCCAACTGTTAGCGAGTGGCGAAACGAACGAACTCAATGAGGTACAACCAAACTTGCTACAGTTCATCCTTGCTAGGTAACTTTGTTGTTGCTTTCGCAAACGTAGCGAGCAGTGAAGTGGCGAATCGATGGGGGCTATAATTATTCCAGTTTCTAGTAGAAAAAAGTAAACTAAGTAGTTGGTAGAAATTTTATTTAGTAAACAGTTATGAGATCAGCGCAGGGATGCAAATTTTGTGGAGTAACATCGATACATAAAAGCTTTGACACATCGGAGAAATCAACATCGATGGTAAAATATATGGATACAATTATGGTTTCCAATATTTTACATTTTATTAGGCCCTAGTGAAATTAAGAGAAATTTAATATTTTTTCAATCTCAACCAATGCAGTTTACTGTAATGCAGGAAGAGAGCTACGTACGAAATTTTGAAAAATAATTGGTTGAATTAAAGGAAGGTCTGAGTCACACTAAATTCGATCTTTAAAACATCGTTGAAGCTGATATCGATATATTGTAAATTTAGCGATATTAAAAAATTGTAAACATCGATGGCAAACAATCATCAACAGATCAGCGACATCTGCATTTGAATTGCCAAAGCTTAATTTAAAATGCAGTTAATTGCTTTCCTCACAAATGTAGGCTGAGCCGTCGAGCGAAGACTACCGATTCAGGCTCTAATCCGCTCGGAGGTGGTTAAAGTTAAGTAAGGCAATTATTTCAATTTAAGTATAAATTAATACCCAAATTCATAAAAAATAAATAAGACTAATAATAGCCTTAAAATTTTTAAATTAAATGCCAAACAATTCAAATGAAATATGTAAAGTTTTTTTTTCATTTTAAAAGAATACTATTTAAAAATTACAACAAAAGACGTATACATATATATAAAAAATAAGTAAAGTAAAAAATAAAATAAAAAGAAACATTAAAAATAAAACATTAATTCGCTGCCCGAGGATTCGAACTCGGATCTCTCGAATGGCGCACTAGCGCTTTGCTCCGTCGGCCATTGCGGCTGTTGAAGCGCCACGAGCGAAATTATACACTTATTCCTTTCACGGGGGATGCAGTAGATTCTCTCGTCAACTGGTATATTACTACTGGTATTTGTACTGGTAGGTGCTGATGCTGGAGCGCACAACTGACATCTCGTATAACACCGCCATATTAAAAATACCAGTCGCTAGCATTGAAAAAGGATACAACGTGAACTATTCTAGTTCACAACTAGTAGCTTTCCCTGCAGGGTATATATATGTATATGCACATCGTGTGAGTGTGGACATTTACTTAGTATAAAAGTCGTTTGTATAAATTGGATATTTGTAGACCCTAAATAATTAAACAAATGGGATTTGTAATAACACTTTTTGTAATAAATAATTGAACGGAAAACAAAATACATACATACATAGGTATAGTCGGTGATACTGCAAAACGTTCTATGCCAATTATTACCTTGGAGCTTAGATGGCATATTAACTGTTAACTGAAATGCTTCTACGAATCGTAATACACTCGTAAACCAAAGACAAAACTGTCCAACTTTGATGAAGATGAATGATTACCAGAAGCTGTCAGATTCTGGTGACAGATCAGGGTTGCCGTGATTCGGATCCATGATCGAATCAATTTCGATTCGAAATTTCTTTTTGAGAATATGGAATTCGGTAGCGAGTTCGCTGATTTACTTTCTATGTGTATAACGACCCGTAGGACCTTACTCGTTAATCCCCTACTCAGTCCACAGTAGCACTTGTTGGCAAAGGAGATTCTGAATTGAATTTCGATGCTGACATTATTATCGGTGTCAATGCTGGTTCCCAAGTAAACGAAATTCTCAATTTTCTCGAAATTATAACTGTCAACAGTGACGTGGGTGCCAATGTGCGAATGCATAGACTGTTTGTTTGAAGACAGGAGATACTTCATCGACCAGAAGAGACTTTGCCGTTCATGATTTACGTAGATTATTTCTTTGCATCAGAATTTGAGAAATTTTCTCGGGGTATTTTAATTTAAAACCTTATATCTCGTAACGGAAAGTTATACAAACAAATTAAATAAAAATTCCTTTATTGTAGCAGAGGGTGCATGTTTGAAAAAACTAAAAAAAAAATTTCACCTTGCTAACTATATTACGCAGAAACACAAGTTCAAACTAAGGTGAAATTCGATTGCCTGTTCATTCAGAATGTAAAAAAATACGTGGTGGAGTAATATGGATACGGGGATAATGATCAGCGATCAGCTTAATGTAAAAAAAATAAATCTAAAAATAGCTAAATCAAATCTTAGTTATGTCTAAAAAAAATAGGGCAGCTTAAGAGAAAGTTTTGAGATGATTCCACCTTACTGTTCTCTAAACATCTGCGTCAATGTGATATTTAGCTCCTTCGCGTGAAATTCTTTACCCGGCCAACTTATCCGCAACGCGATTCCCTGCAATATCAATATGGTCTGGTAACCAAATGAGCCTGAATGCGGAAAATTCTCGTACCAACGTCGAGCAGTTTAACAGATATTCGACTGCTTCCTTAATGCCAGCTCTGTCTGGGAAACAATACAATGACTTGGTAGAGCTTAAATTAAAGGTTTATGAATAGCGCGCTGCATAAAAAAACATCCACCGACACTTCCATCAAGCTTCAACCCATCCGTGTAAAAATTAACCGGTGCCACCTTGCAACTACTGCTTCCCGCACGCTCATTCCAAAAGGGAATGTGAGTGACGAAAGAACTCAAAAAGCAGTCTAGCCAAGCAGAAATCGGATAAAGTTCAAGCTTCAGAAACTTTAAGTTATCTAACGAGGTAAAATACAAACATGCGCTATACGACTGTACTTCATAATCGCAAATTGTACCTTTTCGCCCCCCGGAGTAGCTTTTGAAAGGGTGAATTTTGATGCAGATGAATTTGAATATTTCTATACATACATACATATGTACTAGGAGGGCATATTTTTGAAATGAGCATTCGCCGAAGTAAAATATCATGACAGCTTTTGCCTTTATTTTTTCTTCCATACCTAACACTAAAAATCGCATTAAACATTTTAGCACTATTTACATTTGTAATTAATATTTTGAGCAAAAATTAAATGCTAAAAAATCCAATTCATTTTAAGAAAAAAGATAGAAGCTAAACAGGTTTTTTTCCGGCTAAACCCAAACAAAAAAGATAAATGTAGCTAAAATGGCAACACTGTCAGCGATCCCAGCTTAAATTAAGCCTCATATATGTATGTATATTATCCACAAACTTCTCAAAAATGCACTTTGATATGTTCAAAATTCTCACTTAAACCACAAAGCCATCTATCAACTCCCTCCTATCCTGTGCGAAGGTTTGTTCGAGCAAAATTTTTTCTTTTTATTTCATTTATTTTTATTTAAGATGCGGATAGTAAAGATCAAATAATGGTCAAAGGTCATTTCAAGTATTTTCCTATATACGGGTATTTTTTTTTTTCAATTCAGTTTTCGGCATGATTACGTCTATTTTTATTTCCAACGATTTTGTAGCTGTAACTAACTAAATACTATATTAGAAATAAAGTTCGATCCACTTACGTTTCATCAGCAACATCACTGCTCACGACGACTGCGCCTGCATCAACTGTCGTTGGCTTTGGCGAAAATTGACTTGTTTCCGTACCGCCAGATGTAGATATGATAACAACATTGTTGACAGCAATGCTTGGCTGTGCCGATGTAACAATATAACTGGCACTATCGGCACAAATTTCCATTGGTGGTAAATACCATTTGGTTTGTGAACCGCTACTTGCGTAAAAATCCGTTGTACTGCAATGTTTCTTGTTTTTTGGTTGCACATCGCCTGCAACAACCGCGACAATAGTTGCTGGAATTTCCACATCTTTCGAGTTGGCTGCGGTCGCTATTGCTGTTGCACCGGAACCACTATCATCTGCGGCTGTAATTTCCAATACAGTTGCCGGCAATGATTCTTCCAATGTTGTATCGAATTCATTTACCGAAGCGCGACCACTATCCGTTGCCGGAATATCCTGCTGTTCGTGTAACAGTTGCTGCGAATTAATAATTAGTGTTTGACCTGCCTGCTGTGACTGTTCGGTCGCACAAGTGCCGTTAGCAACAATGTTATCGCCACCCACTAGTATCACGTTGGCGGCGATTGCGAGGTTGGCGGCATCATTTTTGATGTTAGTGTTGTTGGCATTGTGACTGTTGGGGTGGTTGAATATGTGAATGCTGGGCGAAGTGTCTGCGTCGTTTGGACTCGGCTGCTGCTGCTGTTGCTGCTGCATTGTTGTAGACATTTTTCGAGTGTTGCTATTTGAGTTCACTTGCTGTATTTAGTTGTTGTTTTAACACCGATTTTTGTGTTTGTTATAACAAGTGCGACAGCTTAACTTAGTTATGTATGCGGGTATGTACATATGTATGAACATATATAGATTCTTAGAAGAGCATAACAATGCTGCCATACAAAGCCGCTGGGCTAACAAACGCTGTGAAGGCGGAGGTTGAATGGCTTTCGCAAAAAGTTGTACTGTATTTCGCAAGAGGGTGGCAGAATTTGTGGGTTCGTTAGATAGAAATTTTGTTTTGCAATCTATTGATTTTGTAACTTTTCACACTGTTGTGCAACAGAATTCTGCACTGCGTCAACTAATTCACTGACACTTTTGTTGCGTTGGTTGACAATTTTTTTTGCTGATTGTGGTAAACAAATATGTACATACACACAAACTTAGATATACACTTGGCACAATCGGATACAGCGTCGGAAATAGCTATGCACTTTGACATTTCCGTGGCAAGGACGATAGCTGCGTAGCGTTGGTTTTCGTTTTTATTATTGTACTTTTATTTTCATTTTTATTTTTTCAAAGATACACCAAAGGCAGTGGCTGGCAGTTGTACTTGCCGTGGGCTTAAAAGCGCTGGTAGATACACACACACATATGTATGTACATACATATATAAAAACTTTGTATATAAATCACTTTTCCTTAATTGACTTTGGATTCATAAAATTTGCACTAAAATTTGTTAAATAATTTTCTTAAATACCATTCGATTTGCACCCGTGCGTAGGTACGTGTCGCGTCATTCTCTTCTTACTAAGCTGTATACAAACACTTCAGAAAAATTCTTTTGCGTTCTTTTGTACACTCATCTTTGCTCCTTTTATTTTGTTTGCTTTGTCTTAAATCACAATTTAAGCTCGGAACACTTTGACGACAGCAAGCGACAAGCAGCATCTGTCAAATTTTAAATACACACGTTCTTACGGACACAATTATTTTGACGACAGCACGACATCTTGGCTGCAGGACTGCAATTGTCGACGTCGCCAAATTAAATCTATTTCTAATTTTGCCGGCGACAATGAGTAGATGTAGTGCTGCAAAATTAAATTGTCGCAAAATTAATCACATATTCTTGATTGTTCATGTTGTTCTTATTTACTTAAATAAAAATACACAATTTGTGAAATAAATATACCAAAATGTAAAACTTTAAAATCAGCTATTTGCTATGTCGCTGAGGTCTTCAAAATGTTTAAGAAGCTGGCTTCAAGGCGACATTTGTCGACAAAATGATGTCGCTGTCGTTACGTCGTGAAGTTGCAGTCGTCAAAGTGTTCCGAGCTTAACTCAAATACTGGTTTTCTTGTTTTTTAATTTACTTATATTTGCTGCTCTTCAGCATCGCCAAATAAAAAATAGATCCGCTAACCGCCGCGCGTCCAATTCAAGCGTCATAAGTTAAAAACAACAAGAAATAAACTGCAAAACACACCAAAAGTTTATATCCATACAGGGGGATTGTTGTTGGCGCCCCAAATGCAACATGTTTCGCCTGCAACATGTTGGTCGCACACGTTCTGTGAAACGATAAACGAAGTGCTTAGTTAAGCAAATTCAACGTATCCACTAACGCGCATACGTACATACATACATATATCCATACATATTAAAATTTCTAGAAATGAGTTTGTATACGAAGCGTGTTGGCGCTCGTTTCGCCTGCAAACAATTTTGCACCTAAGCTCGGCAAACAAAGTTGCCGGGTATGCTCCACAAACAGTGTGACCATGTTATTTTAGACATTTTAAGCCTCTGAACAGCTTCTTGTGTGATTTTGAATTTTCAAAATTATTTCGCATATACCTACATATATACATACATATGTGAATGTTCTTAAATTATTAATACCTCCGAGACCAGTTAATCCTTAACGGAACCTATTATATTTTACAGGGCAATTCTGGCTTAGATAGTAAAGTTTTTCTAAAGACAAAATAAAAGCAAATCGCTACATAGTTCGAAAGACTTTTGTTATTGCAGCATACAATTCTTTGAAAACCTAAGCTATTCTAGTCTATTATGAGAGATAGCATTTGTATATCATTTAGGTCAAGTCGCTCCAACATCGCAGTGGCCAAGTGAACAAAGCACTGGCGTGCCATTCGAGATATCCGAGTGGGAAGTGGAATTTTCTGTTTTTAATTTACATTTTTTTAATGTTTTTTTTAATTTCTAGATTTTATTGTTTAAAAAAATAGATATATATTTTTTTAATTTCATTTAAGTTTTAGAAACTTATTTTATGTATGTTTTCTTTTTTAATTTAACTTATAGATGGTATTATTTTGGATTTCGTGCTCAAAAAAGAAAAATATTTTGGTTTTAATTTCATTAAAGTTTAGAAAATTGTTTTATTTTATGTAGGCTGCATTTCACCAGATTAATTTAAGTGAAAACTACATTAATTTTCAAATCTTTGATTTCGCCAATCAATTTCAACTTGTTTTTAATTTTGATTTAAGTGACCCATGCTCTTCACTTAAATAAAAATTAATACCGAATAACCACACTCATAGATGCTACACGTTTAATCAGCTGATCAATATTATTAAAACTGAAAAAAAATTTATGATAATTAAATAGATAATTAAACTAAAGTTTAATGAGTTTGGTGAAACGCAGCCTTAATTAAGTTTTCTTTTAATTTTTAGTTATTTTTATCACATATTAATTTTTTAGTACTATTTTCACCCTTGGTTCAAATTTATTGTTTTTGATTTTAAGATTTTATTGATTTAAAAAGAAAAAAATTATTTTAATTCAATTTAATTTTTAAAAATATTTTTATTTATATTTTTTTCTTATTTTATGTCATTTATTTGTATTTTTAGTTTGGTTTATAATTTGAATTTCTTAGCAAAAAGACTTATAAAATTACCTAGTACTAAAAACGTCTCTGAAATGATTTAGCTACGGGGTCAACCCTTCTTCGTTACTTTAATTTTAAAACTAGTTTGCTTTCCTTGGCCAAACCATATAATTTTTTCTCTTACATAATGAGATAATCTACGCTTATGTAGTTGGATGAGCGATAACTTTTGTTTGGAAAATGTTGAAATGTGTTCATTTATTTCTTACTTTTTTAGTAAGTTTAGCTATGCGATCTGGTCACACTGCTCAAAAATGTTGTCGCTTGTCGGCATTTTTGTTTGTGGATTTCATGTTTGTGGCGGTTTAAAAATATTGTACGATCCACAATGTACACATCGAGCTTGTTCGCTTTGAACATAATTTTCTGGTATGTTTTTAAGCGTTGCCGTGTTGCCGTATGGGCATAATTATTCCATATTTGGTATATTTATATAACAATATTTTCAACGTAGTAAACTTCTTTAGTAAATTAATTGATTTATATTTCTTGCTGGAAATAAAATTTAAAACGAAAAAATTCAATATTCATTACATTGTTGCTTCGTTTTTGTGTTAAGAGTGACGCTAATGGATCACACGATTTTCACATTTAGACAATTTAGCAGTCACAGTGTGATGTTGGCTAGAAATGTTTATCGAGAATGGGTGCCGGTCAATAAAGTCTTTACAAACAACAACACCCTGCAAATATGAAAACGTAAAAATCTGTTGAAGTTTACAAATCCTGTGATCCTTGATTCAGGCTACAGCGCCAAATAACAAAAAGGAGATGATAAAGTAATAACTTGTTTTTAGAGCTTGCGCGATATTACAGGTATTTATTCTTTGAGCGAATTTGTTAATCTGTCAAACCGTCGTTTTCAATGGTTGGGGTAAGAAAAAGAATTACCATATGCCATACTCTACATCTTGTATTTGCAACCTTTCAACAAACGGAAAATCGATTTTTAAAAAGAAAAATTTTTGTTAGGATTTTGTTGAATTGTAGAGGACATTTTGTTAAAAAGGTATTTTGATCTGGCAAACCTTATGCGTTGCTGTATTTCTTGAATGGAACTCATTTTGAAAAGCCTATAAATATGCAAGGAAATCTTAAATACGACAGTAGCTGCACAGTGAAGGCTTATAAAAAGTGATACTAAAAAATATTATTTCGGTTCAATATGACCGTTTTCGCTTTAGCAGACATGCCGTCTTAATTTTTCTGTTTTTTGTGATTTTTTTTTAATTTTCATTGTTATCAAATATTGTTTTTTCTTGTTTTTAAATAATATTTTTTTTTTTGGTTTTTACTTTTTTTTTTATTGTTTTTTATAAATTTACCAAGTTAAGTTGTTTTCAAAACATTATTTCAGAACGAATAACGGACTTATAATTTTTGTTTTGTTTTTTATAGTGATTCTCTTTTATCAAAGAATTCCTTGTCTTCAGTGACATCCCATGTTATTATACAGAGGCTCAAACAAATGACCACGTGTCTATTATTTTTATATTCGTAATGTTTTTCGAGCTAATTATTATTTTTCTATAAAAATATGGTCCAAGCTTTATTTAAAACCATATAAATCACTATTTCATAATTTATACAAAATTTAGGAAAATTCAACAAATTTTCATTAAAATTTCAACCTTCTTAACTAGATTTCCTAGAAAGATTCTGAGTATGCAGTTTTGTTACGGCTGATGTTTTAGAATATTTTTTGTCCAGGATGTTTCGGTTTTCGTCCATACAAAAATAAAGTGTGTATTCGTTATATGGAAGCAAATGGGACAAAAAAAATCTAAAAAATCAACCGTAATTTTTAGCCATTTGAATTTGTACTTTGTTCTACTAGAATTCAATGCATACTCAGAATCTTTCTAGGAAATCTAATTAAAAAAGTTAGAAATTTTTACGAAAACTTTTTTGAATTTTTTTTTAATATTGCACGAAGTTTGAAATTTGTTTTTACACCCCTTTTGTAAAAGAATAAACAATATTTTTATAAAAAAATAACCAAAATTAAATATCAACAAAAATAATATGTTAAAACTTCTCAAAATGTGGTGTGGCTATAATTATTTCGACCACTGTATTGGAGACTCATTCTATTTCCATGACAAACCTACCTTTGGCGACAGGAATCTCTTATGCACGTATAGCTTTGGACAATAAATACAATCTTTTTACTTTGAGGAAAATGAATATCCAGAAGTAGAGACATTCCTTATGCATCGGATTGATTAATTTTACGGGCAATACGACCAAAGATATTCGGACTTCCCAGCGGGAAATCGCTGTTATTCACACAATGCAAACAACAAAATAGTTATTCAAGGAAAGAAAACCCCACTTTTTGAGTTTCTAGCTTAAAATCAGGGCTTGAATTCCCCTAAGGATTTGTAATATCTATCTACTGTTAACAAGATTTCATGACACACAAATTCTTCACCGTTATCTTACCGGTCTCGGGATATTATGGGCCGTGATATGATATTGAAAAATAAAAAAAACGGGTTTTAGTAGGAAAATAGCTTCTAAATATTTAGGTTTTCGGAAGCTGGATGCGCATATAATTATTTTCTATAGAATATACTACTGATTGCTGACACGGTAGATAAAATTATACACGAATTCCAACCTAATGTATGGAAAGTA